AGTACCAGATAAATTATATTGGGGGTCCATGATGCATGCTAACGGAAATAACATGGGCAAGTCTTCCCAATATTTTCTAAACTTTAATTCCATAGCATTTATAACTGAACTAAAATCGGGGCCATTTTTAAATCTATCAAAAGCCCTAGCAACTAGATAAAGACGTTGAAGGACCATACAACTAGTAGGATAATAAACACCAGACAAAATATTTATAGCATCATAAAAACTTTTCAAAAAATGTTTAATTTTAGTAACTAAAATCCAATCGGACTCAATCAAAACAGTTTCCTCGTCGTCTTTAAAATGCCTACTGTTATAAAATTCAGTAATTAAATGTTCGAAACCTTCACATGATTTTAATAATAAATATGTGGAGTTCTATCTATGCGCTACGTCACTAATAAAAGGTTTTGAATGCGACACCCCATGTTCGGCACAAAAGTCCTCAAATGCTTGTTTTCTACTAGGTGAAATAGTAAGATAAATTAGTGCATCCCTAATTCGTTGAATTTCATCCTTAACATGTTTTAAACCATCTTGTACTATTAAATTTAAAATATGACATACACATCGAATATGAAATAAAAAATCACAAAATTCAGGTTGAAGTACTCTTTGCAATTTCTCGATAACAAGCTTATTTACATTAGCGTTGTCGAACGTAAAAGAACGAATTTTACTCTCGCATTTATATTCTCTAATAACGTTCATAATAGCACTAAATATATTGGGAGCATTGTGCGGGTACTCAATAATTTTAAAAGCAATTATTTTTTTATGCATGATCCAAAGTGGGTCTATATAGTGTGCAGTTGCAGCCATATAACCTCTTTTATTAATTCCTTCCCATAAATCTGAAGTTAAAGATATTGCACCTCCATATTTTTCTAAATCGGCAATCAATGTTTTCTTTGCATTTAAAAAATATTCTATTGTATCAGAACGAAGAGTATTTCGACTTACCCCAGCGTACCTCGGTTGAAGATATTCTTTGACAAATGTAACGAAATGTTGGTTGTCCGTTTGTGCTAGTGGCAACTCAGATCCGGCAATGTACTTCACCATTCCTGTTCGAGTTCTTTCCTCCGAATACATCCACGTATTAAGTGGCGTAGTAGTAGTAAAGTACCAAATTGTAGTTGCGTTTGACCAATAGGAAGAAGACAATGTTTGGTCGTACATGCTTTGTAGTGACGGTTGAGGTGGGTGGTTCCAATGCCTTTTTGATGAGCCAATCGTTGTTGACAGTATTTACATACTGCTTTGGTTTCTGGAATTCCATCAACTATACGACCAGTTTGAACCAATTTAAAATGATCCCAACATTTAGCATGCTTCATTACCTTTCTCTTCCCTCTTGCATCGGGAATTTCAATAACAGGTTCATCATCCTGTTCCAAATCAATTAGAGCCTCAACATCAACGTCATCCAAATTAATTTGATGACTACTTTCATGAACATTATAATCTTCAATATTTTCTGGAATGGGTACTTCATTTAGACCGACGAACTCATTCCCATATTGATTATGGGACACATTTGCTTCATTTCCGACTCTGACATCGAACAATGGGGGCCCCGAGCAGAATGACCCTTCTCAATTCCTCCCCAATAATTCTTCTCGGGCGGATAGGTGGCCCTGTTTCTCTAGCAGATCTCATTCCTCCAAGCTTTTGCATCAATAGGGTGTGGCTATGAGTATAGGGAAATTAAACTGGTAAACACTGCGATAGCAATAAATGAGCCGACAGGCCTAAAACCTAGCCTTTCTCATCTAACGTTGTATTTACCACGTTTCCGCTCATGATCCAATTGGGGCCCACATACCTGACTTATACAAATTTGGAAGGATTAATATAGGAATTTTGCTTAGTTTGTTTGAATAGTTGACATTCTCTCATATATTTTAGTTCTCCCATAAATAAAAAGTTCCGTCATTGTGAGAGTTCCTTTCATCAAAAAAATTCGAGCATTATAACGGGATTATTTAGATAGACGGTATAAACTCCCAGCCCATGGCGGGACACATGTCCCCCCTGAGTGGACAGGCCAACTGTCCGTCAAGCACAGCCGAATTTGGAAATTGCAAGCAACGCCATTATTTATTTTTGTACCAACGGCCAGCAAAAGCTATAAAAACACAGCAGCAAGCATGGCTGATGGCACTGTAAAATTCCCTCTAGTTTACCTCCAATTTATCAGAAAATCAAATATTATTTTCCTGCTTAGGTTAAATTTAAAATTTTAATTTAAGTTAAAGTTAATGTCAATGTCAAAGTCAAAGTCAATAATTAATTTTAATAACACATTTTATGAGCATATAACTTTTCAACCAAACATTTTATCAACTTTTATCAAAATAATTAAAAATATAATATTAATCCTCACCAAACATGGACTAAACAGCCTAAATTGTCAATCTTATATAGCAAAATTAATGTTGGGTTTTTGCCTCATCATTCCACTTTTTTCAAATAGTGTGGAGGGAATGGGGAATAAACATATTCTTTAGGTGCAATCTATAAAACTCGGGTCGAATTTACACTCTAATTTACAAATATCAACTGCTGCATGAGGATTAAAAAAAAATGGGTTGTACTGTGCGTACACAAAATCCCTCCAAAACACAGACAATAGAAGGAATGGATCGATATTTTTTTTGTGATATTTTACTCACATGGACCCACTCTATGAATATTCTTGATTGTACACAGACTAATTCTAAAAAAATCTAGCTGTCAAACTGTTTCCAACGGCTATATTTTTTACTTTCATCGGTTATCTACAAAAGAAAATGAAAAAAATAGTAAAAAGTTAAGAAATGTGGATAATAAAAATAATTCCTCCAAGCTTTTGCATCAATAGGGTGTGGCTATGAGTATAGGGAAATTAAACTGGTAAACACTGCGATAGCAATAAATGAACCGACAGGCCTAAAACCTAGTCTTTCTCATCTAACGTTGTACTTACCACGTTCCCACTCATGATCCAATTGGGGCCCACATACCTGACTTATACAAATTTGGAAGGATCAATATAGGAATTTTGCTTAGTTTGTTTGAATGGTTGAGATTCTCTCACATATTGGAAGTCTCGCATAAATAAAAAGTCCCGTCATTGTGAGAGTCGATCATTCCTTCTATCAAAAAAATTCGAGCATTATAACGGGATTGTTTAGACAGGCGGTATAAACTCCCAGCCAATGGCGGGACACATGTCCCCCCTGAGTGGACAGGCCGACTGTCCGTCAAGCACAGCCGAATTTGGAAATTGCAAGCAACACCATTATTTATTTTTGTACCAACGGCCAGCAAAAGCTATAAAAACACAGCAGCAAGCATGGCTGATGGCACTGTAAAATTCCCTCTAGTTTACCTTCAATTTATCAGAAAATCAATTATTATTTTCCTGCTTAGGTTAAATTTAAAATTTTAATTTAAGTTAAAATCAAAGTTAAAGTCAAAATCAATAATTAATTTTAATCACACATTTTATGAGCCTACAACTTTTCAACCACACATTTTGTCAACTTTTATTAAAATAATTAAAAATATAATATTAATCCTCACCAAACATGGACTAAACAACCTAAATTGTCAATCTTATATACCAAAATTAATGTTGGGGTTTTGCCTCATCATTCCACTTTTTTTCAAATAGTGTAGAGGGAATGGGGAATAAACGTATTCTTTAGGTGCAATCTATAAAACTTGGGTCGAATTTACACTCTAATTTACAAATATCAACTGTTGCATGAGGATAAAAAAAAATGGGTTGTACTGTGCGTACACATAATCCCTCCAAAACACAAACAATAGAAGGAATGGATCGGTATTTTTTTTGTAATATTTTACTCACACGGGCACACTCTGTGAATATTCTGGATTGTACACAGACTAATTCTAAAAAAATCTAGCTGTCAAACTGTTTCCAACGGCTATATTTTTTACTTCCATCGGTTATCTACAAAAGAAAATGAAAAAATAGTAAAAGGTTAAGAAATGTGGATAATAAAAATCTTATAAATACCCATACTCTTCACTCCAATTCTTCACGCAAAAATATCCAGTCTCTCCTCTCACATAATTTCATTTGCATTTCCAATTTATTTTCCTCTAGATTTCATTACTCATTCTCCAGAAATCAATGACGGGGGGAGAATTCCAATTCTGAAAAATCATCAGAGGGCCAAATTGGAAGAAAACTTCATCTAGAGGGCCAAAATAAAAGAAAGGAATTGTACGATGCGCTTGAACAAGGATCGACTCCTTCAAAATTCCTTTTGATTATAAATAGCCATGGACAAAAACAATCATTCATGAGTTGTCGATAACCTACTTTTCGATCATTATCTTTATACTATCGTGTACTTGTGTCAAGCAGCTAACTTTGAAACAGTTAAGAGCAAACTTCGAGTTAGAACTAATGGATTAGCATAAATAGTCACTTCCCCATAGATTGGACACTGCAGTCGCATGAGACCAAGCAGAGAATTTGGTGACCACAAATGTTATAACTATGCGGTCCGTAGTGTAAATTATATTATCGTTGTGGCCATTTTTGACCATGCCTTTCATCCCATTTTTTGGCACCACTTCGTGTGAACTAATCAAGGCCTATAAATAGGTTATCGAAGTTCTAGACAACAGCAATGAAAATTATATGAAAAAATCATTCCTTGTTCATCCAAAATTCTGTAAAAGTTGCTTCTTTACATAATCAAACACTTTCTTTTCACTCGTTCACTAAAAGAAACATTTTTGCTATTGATGTTTTTTTCATTAAATCTTGTTTAATTCTACAAACTATTTGCCGATAAATCCTTAAAAGGAGACAAATATTGTTTGAGGACAACAATACATTCTTCGTGTTCAAGCCTTTGCAGATTTCATATTCACCTTCTTCCTCTTTGTTCTCAATTGCTATATTTATTTTGTCATAACAAGAATAAGCATCATTTTCTTCAAGGAAAAGGAACGAAATGAAGTAATAGAGGGCATAAGAAGGAAGAAAAGACAACAGAAAATTTTCCCACTAATAATTTTGCATTCTTCTCTCTTTATATATATCAGCTCAGCCTTGTTACAAGAGTGAGTCTCTTCAATGTTCCACCTGCCCGCCATTTTCTGCTTGATTTTCTATGTCTTGTTAGAAGCCCAAAAAATGCCATGCCAAAAGGGTTAGTTCTTTCTTTAATCTGCAGCAGCCACATCAACTTTACTGCTTCAACTTCAAAGTCCCAGCAAGATATAGTACACCAAAGTTATAGGTAGAGCTATTAACATCCCGAATATCACCCTGCAACAACCATAATACACGAAAATATGAAATGAGAAACATAAAAAAGACGAGCAACTTCACTTACGACTCATACTACCATCATTCGATATCTTCATAACGAGTGATATTTAATGCATACACGTAATGGCATGTGCAACATTGGCACTTCCATCAACACGCTCGTAACAATATTTCAATAAAGAACTTTAGTCTAAAACAAAATGTATAGGAGCTAACCCGGTGCTCAAGATATCGGGATGAACATTATATTCCTTTGCAAAGACAAAAGGAACGATTCCTTGTGGAAGTGCTGACTGAAAATATGAAGCTTGAAATCAATCAGCCGAGCACGAATGGTCAAAAGTAATTGGAAATTAACACGTCAAATTGTATAAAATTTTGTGTCAATTCTTGAAATTTATTTACCTGCACAATTGCAATGTGCAAAAGATCGCCTCGAAGTCCAATGGCAATTGAGGCAGCAGCCATAACTGCCGGTCCGGTAAGAAATCGCACAGCCATGGAGAAGGCAGCAACTGATTTCCCGCAAGCAATCATCCTAGGCTGCAATGCCATAAACAATCCTGCAATCCCACGATAAAATAAGAGATGAAGTAAACTTCAGAAGAAAAGTTACTTTAAAGCTTCTTAATTGACGAACATAATTTAAAAGTTACTTTTGTACTAACTAGTTTCTTCAGAAAAGTATTTTCTAAGTATAGTTGAACATGCTCTCTAGTCTGAACATGATCTTTGAAGAGGGACATCAATTAGATCATACCAAGACTGAACATTGCCATTCCAAGACCGGCATCAGACAAAATAGATATAGATTTGGCGATAATTGCAGGCATCTCAACATGCCACCTGCAACAATTTTAGCAATAGATCAAAATTTCCAACATCAAGGGCTACATACATGGATTTTTCACAAAATACAAGAATATTTACTTGAATGAGACCAAAGACCATGTGAGGCCAAAGAGGCTGGAATAAGTGTTTGGATTCCTCATAAGCTTTCGCCACACCATAATCAATATGAGCCGAGTCATCACACTAGTTGGAGGCATGGTTGTTGTCTTAGTCTCTGCACTAGGCTTCGGACGAAGCTCGGTTGTCGAACTTGATCCGAGCTTCGATAGTACTGGTCCTTCCCGGTTCATTCCATTTAGTCCCTGTTTGTTCCCAAAACTGAACTCGTCTCGCCCAAAATCATCATAGTCTAAAATGTCAAACACGTCGAATCATCAGTAATAAAAATACAGAATTAAAATAATGGAAGTATATTATCAATGACAAGAGTGATGAATAAAGTCAACTCCATTCCCAGGTAGAAGACAAAAAAAATTCTTTTCGAATTATCATGGCTCTTGTGGCACACTACAATTTGGAGCTTCATCAAATGGATGTTAAGACAATATTTTTGAATGGAGATTTTTCTGAAATGGTTTATATGAAACAACCTGAAGGCTTTGTTGTGAAAGGAAAAGAAAACTTAGTATATAAGTTAAATAAATCCTTATATGGTCTCAAGCAAGTATCTCAACAGTGGAATCTGAAATTTGACGAGGTTGTGACCTCTCTTGATTTTGTTGAAAATACTGTTGATCAATGCATTTATCTCAAAATCAGTGGGAGAAATTTTATTGTACTGTATGTTGATGACATTCTGCTTGCTATCAGTAACTTAGGGTTGCTTCATGAGATAAAGAAAATGTTGTTTGCTAATTTTGAAATTAAAGATCTTGGAGAAGCTTCCTATATACTTGGCATTGAAATAAATTGTGATAGAAATCGTGGCTTATCGGGACTTTCTCAAAAAGCTTAAATACGACGTGTTCTAGAAAGGTTTAATATGCAGAACTGTGCACCTGGTGATGTACCTATCATAAAAGGAGATAAATTTAACAAAACTCAATGTCTAAGGAATGAGCTAGAAAGGGAGTCTATGAAGATGATGTCATATGATAGTGTTGTGGGGAGCTTAATGTATGCTCAAGCTTGCACTAGGCTGGGTATAGCCTATGCAGTTAGTGTCCTTAACAGATTTCAGTCTAATCTAGGACAAGAGCATTGGAAAGCAACTAAGAAAGTTATGAGATATTTGAAGAAAATTGAAAGTTATATGCTTACATTCCAGCATACAAACCATCTTGAGGTGGTAGGATATTCAGATTCTGATTTTGCTGGATGTCAAGATGATTTGAAATCAACCTCAAGTTATATTTTTACATTAGGTGGTGGTGCTATTTCTTGGAAAAGTGCTAAACAAACTCTAGTGGCATCTTCTACTATGCAAGCTGAATTTGTGGCATGTTATGGGGCTACAGTCCAAACCGTTTAGTTAAGAAATTTCATCTCTGACTTGAAAGTTGTTGATTTCATCTCAAGACCGATCACCACCTATTGTGATAATAGTGCAGCAGTATTCTTTTCAAAGAATAATAAAAGTTCTGGTGGGTCAAAATATATTGATATCAAATATTTGGTTGTTAGAGACAGAGTCAAAGAAGGACAGACAAAAATAGAGTATATTAATACAGAGGTAATGATTGCATATCCCTTGACTAAGGGACTCGCTCCAAAAGTCTTTAAGACATATGTTGCTAATATGGGCATTGTGGAAATATTTGATATTTTTGGTTAGTGGGAGTTATTTATGTAAAGAATTACGTTTTGGGTTTGATCCCTTTGCGGGGTACGTAGGTAACCCATATGTTTTCGGGTACAATCCATTCTGATAATAAAATATTTTTTCCCTATTCATGAACTATATTGAGCATGCATTTGGCTTATATCTTTTGATTATAATATTATTGTGATCTCGAGATATGACATATAAAGCATAAGATGAGTCTCTTTTAAAGACAAGCGGCTTCATTTTGATCCGAAGCATTATGAAGACCGATATGAATTAGCACAGTCTTTTTATCACATTTGGTGCTAAGTTCATACCACATACTACCACATTGATTGGAGGATGGGGATCTATGTCGATAAGGATGTTGATATTTGTAGCTGTGAAACGGTCTTACATCGCTTAATTGGTGTAATGACTTCCATGTTTGGTGTTAATATTCTTGTTGGACCGAATCATGTTACTTAAGGTGTCATCATTGGAGCTATACTTTTGTGGCTACCTATGTAGCCTGATTCGGGTGTTAAAACTTTGTTATAGCAATCAAGTGTTTGCCCAAGTGGAAGAATGTTGGAATAATTCCATATGTAGGCTTCACATTCGATTGCAAATTTTACAGGTTAGATGTATAGCTCATAATGATATTTGTGTTTGGGCCAAATTTATTAAGTGAGTAATTGGGCCTTTTACACCTTACGGGTTGTAATCAATATGATGTGGTAATTTTAAGTATGTGGACTGAAAATAAACTCTAATTAGAATTCTAGCCGTAATGGGACGGCTCAATTATTTCCTATATAAAGGTTAGGTCCTCTTTCCTTTCCATTATTATTTTTAACTTGCCCCATTGATAGCTAATACTTTGTGAGGAGTAAGGAGGGGAATATCTGACTGCTATTACAATTACAACTATTATTCATATCAACAATGGCTTCCGCAGATATGAATTCAATTTAAGAATTATTATTTTGTGATTCTCGATTCTTAGCATAATTACAAATAAATTCAACATAAACATGTTACCGGAGCCAAATTTTTGTGTAAGGGAACGAAAAATAAAAAGAATGTTGGGGAACAAAATATTTATATAGCCCCTTTTTTTGGGTGGGAAATAAAATTAAATTTTTAATAAATATTAATAAAAGTTTATATAATTTAATTAAAAAATTGTGAGTCTTATGAAATATATGATTAAAACTAATTACTAAATTTTTATTTAGATTAAAATATAAACTTTAATCCAGAAACATAATATGTAAATCAAGTATAAATCGAAAAAGATTTAAATAAATTTTCAGGGACGATTGCCACCCTGATCCACACATGGCTCCCATAGGGAAATTTGTTTCAATACATACTTAGAGCCCGTTTCGCACAATTATTTCATATTATAATCTAAGAAATAATAATTTTTTGGAGAATGTGTGGTTGAAAAGAAAAAAAAATTGAGTTTACGTATAATATTATTTTATTGAAAAATATGTAGTTAATAAGACGAGAAAAAAAATTAATTATAATTTAATAGGAAATAATGGGGGCAAATAGGGGCTTACACTGCCCAAGGTAACAGATAATTTATTTTACTTTCTTAATCATATTTTCTCTAGTTTGGCCTTCATTTTTGGACTTATTTTTTCTCAAAATTATTTTCAATTATACATTTTCTCAAAAAAATAACTTTGCACGTGAACCTATAACTTTTTCCTACTTTTTATCATACATTTTTCAACAAAATCTATTCTTAAAAAATTCTATTAAACATGGTTTAATGTTAATGTAAAAAAAAAAAAATTTAATGACATCTCAAAATAGGTTCGATCAAGTAGTTAACTGGATTCTGATCACCTTCCCTTCCATCTAAGCATCATTTGCACGCTAAAACCGAAACAGGATAGAATGAATGCAAGACAGAAGGGTGAGAGGAGATTTAGAGTAAATTACCAAATTACAATTACATCTGAATGTCACCATATGTGAGAGTAAATTACCAAATTGCAATTAAATCTGAATGTCCTTATCTGTGAGTATTTATAATCAAAAGAGAAGAAGTAAATTTGAAAAGTAGATTGAAAATTTAACTAAGCGTATCTCCTATAGGCTACCAATTTGTTAAGCATATCAAGTATCTTCGTACTGAATATATTTTGGTCAAGGTATTATTCGTAAAAGATGGCGCATTCATAGAAGATATCAATCACCGCGTAGAGATGTATGGCAGTGTGGTGGAGCAGGGTGTGAACCTTGTGTTGCCTTTTTCTTCGTCTTTATTTATCAAGCTACCATCTAACCTATCACATGAGATGAAAAAGCCAAAATACAAATATTTAGAATATTGGTCACCATCTCATCGTGAACTGCTCATTTCTCCATTGAGTATTTAGCACGGGATTATGTTTGACTTCTCGAATCTATTAAATTTCTCATGTCATTTCAATCATATTTTCTTTTGCTAACAAGTTCGAAGATTCAAATAGTATATGCATTCTTTTGCCTTTATTTATTTATTTATTTTTTTTATTTCACTCTCTTTAAACAACTCAATACCATCAAATCATTCGTAACTACAAATACATTATAATTTTAGTTAAATTCCTTTACATGAGAAAAGTAAAATGTAAAATAAAATAAAAAGTGGGACATATGGTGTATGAAATTTCTAACCCTTGTGACACTCAAGGAGAAAGACTATGATCTAATTAAACATGTGGGAACAATCATATGATTCGCTGCGATCGCATTCACATCGGGGTGATAATTACTTTCTAAGTATACATGCTACGTCGGATTCATGAAAAACATGGAAAAAGAGATGTAACCCACTAATTGGAATTAATAAGCAAAAGCTAAAGCTAAAGATGCTTTTGTGTTTGTCCACTTTGATTAAGATTGGTGTGAATTCCCACTTTACAGCACTTTATTTTTCCAAATAGATCGTCAATGGAAAAGGTTAGCTAATTGTTCAAATATGATGTCTCTTGTGCTGTTTTTCCATATTTTGAAACAAAGCTTTACCTAAAAACAGGATTTGGCTTCATAATGTGCTTTATTGTCATTAACTAATTAATCACAGAATCGTGGAAATCTGACTATATGTCGGGAGGATGTCTGTACTTTGTAGTTATATTTTTAGCGAAATTTTGTGTTAATTGTTGACTTCGAGTTTTGTACTTTCCACGTAGTTAACTGATCTCAAGGTTACTCATATTCACAAAACCTAATTCTTGCACATTTAGACAAATCGTTAGCCATACGTGACTTCCTCTAATGGGGGTGGAGTTGGGCAACTCGCACTCCAACGGTCAAGTTAGTAGGGGGAATATAAGCGTGGGAAAGTTTTAGACGTGAGCCTCCAATGTAAAAAAAGGATGTCAACTTTGGGTGGAGATAGATAAACAGTGTTATGATGTAGTTATAAATTTAGAGTTTAAACTTGTATTACATTAAAAGGGTACTAAGTATGAGATTTCATAGTAAAAAAATTTGAATAAGATTCGTTGGATGAAGACGCACGTTGCCTCATCCGTACGTTTGATACCTCTTGTCGAAAACATCAATCAATCATAGATATTAAATGCTAATATCATTTTTTGTCCGTAATGTCTAGTTTGCGACTTTAGACTTGACCTGATGGGGTGGAAATGGCGGCGACAACAGTGAATTTTTACATCAATCACGTACCAAGGATTGCCTAACAAATCTCGCGCGGAACTCCTTCCCTGTCCTCACCTCCCCGTAAATTGGTTCTTCCCAACGGGAACTATATAATCTAATGGGGTCGATAAATATATTGTTTCACTTTTGGTTGCCCAAGCATAATAACTTATATGCAAGTTCCCCCCATGTGAGAGGTGTATATGATTATATACACCAAAAGTGCACATGTAGCATAGTCAGTCTTGTAAAATTTAAACCCGTCAAATACATTTAATGGACAAATAACTTATTATTTTACTTTTTATTCATACATCATGTAAGATTCGCAATTTAAATTATAACTTAAAAACTAAGCACTAATTATCATATTAACTTATTCAAATTTTGTTTGGCAGAGAATAAAATAAATTTTTTAGCAATTTTTGATAAAAGTTAATGAAATATGTAATTGAAAAGTAGTAGATCCTATGAATTTCATATTTGATGAAAATTAATTATTAATTTTGAATTCAATTTTAATCGAACTTTTAGTGGTACCAATTAGGAGTCGAATGTATCAGAATAGACTAGCTAACAACCACTCCCATCTCCCTCTTTCAGGGTAATTTTAAATAAAACTTCTTGTATAGAAGCTTTTGATAAGAGGAATGACAATACACAGGTGACAACATTGTATTAGCTGATTTAAAATTATATTTTGTTCAACATTCAATGAATGCTGCTACCTCACTATCTATATGATTCTTTTGTACATAAAGCAAAATTGTTTTACGTTTGATTTACTCAATTGGGCTGTGCCTTATGTACAATAAGGGTGACAATCAAAGGTTGAACTCTAACATTGAGGGTCTCACTGTTCCGTCCCTAGAGTTTTGTGAGGGAGGTAAATCGCGGGATGTGTCCCAACAGGCTATGGAACAAGAGCTGTCTGTACACTGCGCTTACAAAGAGTCCAATTTCATGTTTCGAGAATCGAACTCCCACACTGTAGCTGCCAGCAAGACATGAGATAACCTCACTCTTATCCTTTGTATCATTAGACTATATTCCAGGGGACACAATAAGAGTGACAGTCCGAAGGGGGACCGCGTTGATTGTTGGGTCGCAGGGGGCCCCGAGCAGAATGACCCTTCTCAATTCCTCCCCAATAATTCTTCTCGGGCGGATAGGTGGCCCTGTTTCTCTAGCAGATCTCATTCCTCCAAGCTTTTGCATCAATAGGGTGTGGCTATGAGTATAGGGAAATTAAACTGGTAAACACTGCGATAGCAATAAATGAGCCGACAGGCCTAAAACCTAGCCTTTCTCATCTAACGTTGTATTTACCACGTTTCCGCTCATGATCCAATTGGGGCCCACATACCTGACTTATACAAATTTGGAAGGATTAATATAGGAATTTTGCTTAGTTTGTTTGAATAGTTGACATTCTCTCATATATTTTAGTTCTCCCATAAATAAAAAGTTCCGTCATTGTGAGAGTTCCTTTCATCAAAAAAATTCGAGCATTATAACGGGATTATTTAGATAGACGGTATAAACTCCCAGCCCATGGCGGGACACATGTCCCCCCTGAGTGGACAGGCCAACTGTCCGTCAAGCACAGCCGAATTTGGAAATTGCAAGCAACGCCATTATTTATTTTTGTACCAACGGCCAGCAAAAGCTATAAAAACACAGCAGCAAGCATGGCTGATGGCACTGTAAAATTCCCTCTAGTTTACCTCCAATTTATCAGAAAATCAAATATTATTTTCCTGCTTAGGTTAAATTTAAAATTTTAATTTAAGTTAAAGTTAATGTCAATGTCAAAGTCAAAGTCAATAATTAATTTTAATAACACATTTTATGAGCATATAACTTTTCAACCAAACATTTTATCAACTTTTATCAAAATAATTAAAAATATAATATTAATCCTCACCAAACATGGACTAAACAGCCTAAATTGTCAATCTTATATAGCAAAATTAATGTTGGGTTTTTGCCTCATCATTCCACTTTTTTCAAATAGTGTGGAGGGAATGGGGAATAAACATATTCTTTAGGTGCAATCTATAAAACTCGGGTCGAATTTACACTCTAATTTACAAATATCAACTGCTGCATGAGGATTAAAAAAAAATGGGTTGTACTGTGCGTACACAAAATCCCTCCAAAACACAGACAATAGAAGGAATGGATCGATATTTTTTTTGTGATATTTTACTCACATGGACCCACTCTATGAATATTCTTGATTGTACACAGACTAATTCTAAAAAAATCTAGCTGTCAAACTGTTTCCAACGGCTATATTTTTTACTTTCATCGGTTATCTACAAAAGAAAATGAAAAAAATAGTAAAAAGTTAAGAAATGTGGATAATAAAAATATTATAAATACCCATACTCTTCACTCCAATTCTTCACGCAAAAATATCCAGTCTCTCCTCTCACATAATTTCATTTGCATTTCCAATTTCATTTCCTCTAGATTTCATTACTCATTCTCCAGAAATCAATGACGGGGGAGAATTCAAATTCTGAAAAATCATCAGAGGGCCAAATTGGAAGAAAACATCATCTAGAGGGCCAAACTAAATGGAAGGAATTGTAGGATGCGCTTGAACAAGGATCGACTCCTTCAAAATTCCTTTTGATTATAAATAGCCATGGACGAAAACAATCCTTCATGAGTTGTCGATAACCTACTTTTCGATCATTTTCTTTATACTATCGTGTACTTGTGTCAAGCAGCTAACTTTGAGACAGTTAAGAGCAAACTTCGAGTTAGAACTAATGGATTAGCATTAATAGTCAGTTCCCCAAGGGCATTTCTTTCCTAAGCTTATTGGCTAAACAGAGTAGCCTTCCACATGTGCACTGAAACCAGAGTCTGCAACTCGCCTTAGGCGAAACCCTCCGAACTCTCTCAATTTGTATTGAGAACCATTGAGCATGATGACCCATCACCATTTGAAACTCTAGACCGTCTTGTCATATTCTTCGATTAGCATATGAGTAATCATTTTATTGAAAAGATCTTCAATGATGGGATTGAAGATATGGCGAAAAGAGGTTGAGATGTCAAGAAGGATAAGATGTGAAATATAAAGATGAGATATGAGGTGTATATAAAGTAGAATGAATCGAAGTAGTAGAAATAATGTAAAACGTCCAAAGTGCCGACATATGAGTCAAAAATTGTATTGTTCATAGTCCTATAATTTGAAAATTTATTTCATTTAATGTACATACTCAATTTCCAACCTTTTTTCCCTAAACATTATCAGAGATTGGGCTTTTTCCCTAGCTTTATCCGTTTGGATTTTTATCCATTGGGAATTTACCACCAACATTAGTTTTGCCCTTTACCAAAACAGCAGAAGCAGCATGGTAACAAGCCCGAGCTGGTCCGATTCCATTCATCCCCTCGAGCATGCCAAGCTCGATGCACTGTATTTTTATTTAAATTCAGAACGAGGGAACGCCCTGTATTTCTTAAGATTGGACCTGGCACTTTGAAATTAACTAAAAATTGTTGGAATCTTGTTGTTCAAAATCTAGAGTGGATGAAGTGAATTGGTTAAGAAACGAAAAAGGGAAAATTCTGCCAAGAAAATTGGCCTATGCGACCGCATAAATTGGACTATGCGGTCGCATGAGACCAAGCAGAGAATTTGGTGACCACAAATGTTATAACCATGCGGTCCGTAGTGTAAATGATATTATCGTTGTGGCCATTTTTGAACATGCCTTTCATCCTATCTTCTGGCACCACTTCGTGTGAACTAATCAAGGCCTATAAATAGGTTATTGAAGTTCTAGACAACAATGAAAATTATATGAAAAAATCATTCCTTGTTCATCCAAAATTCTGTAAAAGTTGCTTCTTTACATAATCAAACACTTTCTTTTCACTCGTTCATTAAAAGAAGCATTTTTGCTATTGGTGTTTTTTCATTAAATCTTGTTTAATTCTACGAACTATTTGCCAATAAATCCTTAAAAGGAGACAAATATTGTTTGAGGACGACGATACATTCTTCGTGTTCAAGCCTTTGAAGATTTCATATTCACCTTCTTCCTCTTTGTTCTCAATTGCTATATTTATTTTGTCATAACAAGAATAAGCATCATTTTCTTCAAGGAAAAGGAACGAAATTAAGTAATAGAGGGCATAAGAAGGAAGAAAAGACAACAGAAAATTTTCCCACTAATAATTTTGCATTCTTCTCTCTTTATATATATCAGCTCAGCCTTGTTACAAGAGTGAGTCTCTTCAATGTTCTACCTGCCCGCCATTTTCTGCTTGATTTTCTGTGTCTTGTTAGAAGCCCAAAAAATGCCATGCCAAAAGGGTTAGTTCTTTCTTTAATCTGCAGCAGCCACATCAACTTTACTGCTTCAACTTCAAAGTCCCAGCAAGATATAGTACACCAAAGTTATAGGTAGAGCTATTAACATCCCGAATATCACCCTGCAACAACCATAATACACGAAAATATGAAATGAGAAACATAAAAAAGACGAGCAACTTCACTTACGACTCATACTACCATCATTCGATATCTTCATAACGAGTGATATTTAATGCATACACGTAATGGCATGTGCAACATTGGCACTTCCATCAACACGCTCGTAACAATATTTCAATAAAGAACTTTAGTCTAAAACAAAATGTATAGGAGCTAACCCGGTGCTCAAGATATCGGGATGAACATTATATTCCTTTGCAAAGACAAAAGGAACGATTCCTTGTGGAAGTGCTGACTGAAAATATGAAGCTTGAAATCAATCAGCCGAGCACGAATGGTCAAAAGTAATTGGAAATTAACACGTCAAATTGTATAAAATTTTGTGTCATTTAATTTTATTTACCTGCACGATTGCAATGTGTAAAAGAACGCCTCGAAGTCCAATAGCAATTGAGGCAGCAGCCATAACTGCAGGTCCTGTAAGAAATCGCACGGCCATGGAGAAGGCAGCAACTGATTTCCCGCAAGCAATCATCCTAGGCTGCAATGCCATAAACAATCCTGCAATCCCACGATAAAATAAGAGATGAAGTAAACTTCAGAAGAAAAGTTACTTTAAAGCTTCTTAATTGACGAACATAATTTAAAAGTTACTTTTGTACTAACTAGTTTCTTCAGAAAAGTATTTTCTAAGTATAGTTGAACATGCTCTCTAGTCTGAACATGATCTTTGAAGAGGGACATCTAACATCCCGAATATCACCCTGCAACAACCATAATACACGAAAATATGAAATGAGAAACATAAAAAAGACGAGCAACTTCACTTGCGACTCATACTACCATCATTCGATATCTTCATATCGAGTGATATTTAATACATACACGTAATGGCATGTGCAACATTGGCGCTTCCATCAACATGCTCGAAACAATATTTCAATAAAGAACTTTAGTCTAAAACAAAATGTATAAGAGCTAACCCGGTGCTCAAGATATCGGGATGAACATTATATTCCTTTGCGAAGACAAAAGGAACGATTCCTTGTGGAAGTGCTGACTGAAAATATGAAGATTGAAATCAATCAGCCGAGCAAGAATGGTCAAAAGTAATTGGAAATAAACACATCACATTGTATAAAATTTTTCATCATTTGATTTTATTTACCTGCACGATTGCAACGTGTAAAAGAACACCCCGAAGTCCAATGGCTATTGAGGCAGCAGCCATAACTGCGGGTCCTGTAAGAAATCGCACCGCCATGGAGAAGGCAGCAACTGATTTCCCGCAAGCAATCATCCTAGGCTGCAATGCCATAAACAATCCTGCAATCCCACGGTAAAATACGAGATGAAGTAAACTTCAGAAGAAAAGTTACTTTAAAGCTTCTTAATTGACGAACATAATTTAAAAGTTACTTTTGTACTAACTAGCTTCTTCAGAAAAGTAACTTCTAAGTATAGTTGAACATGCTCTCTAGTCTGAACATGATCTTTGAGGAGGGACATCAAATTAGATCATACCAAGACTGAACATTGCCATTCCAAGACCGGCATCAGACAAAATAGATATAGATTTGGCGATAATTGCAGGCATCTCAACATGCCACCTGCAACAATTTTAGCAATAGATCAAAATTTCCAACATCAAGGGCTACATACATGGATTTTTCACAAAATACAAGAATATTTACTTGAATGAGACCAAAGACCATGTGAGGCCAAAGAGGCTGGAATAAGTGTTTGGATTCCTCATAAGCTTTCGCCACACCATAATCAATATGAGCCGAGTCATCACACTAGTTGGAGGCATGGTTGTTGTCTTAGTCTCTGCACTAGGCTTCGGACGAAGCTCGGTTGTCGAACTTGATCCGAGCTTCGATAGTACTGGTCCTTCCCGGTTCATTCCATTTAGTCCCTGTTTGTTCCCAAAACTGAACTCGTCTCGCCCAAAATCATCATAGTCTAAAATGTCAAACACGTCGAATCATCAGTAATAAAAATACAGAATTAAAATAATGGAAGTATATTATCAATGACAAGAGTGATGAATAAAGTCAACTCCATTCCCAGGTAGAAGACAAAAACACCAAAATTTCCGGATGGGTGCAGTGTTAATAATAAACCAAGAACTGATTGCCCATACTAGAGGGAAACTCCACAGGAAAAAAAACATAACAAAAACCATTTTCAACCACAAGCTAATAAAAGAAATCAGAATCCCAGGACAAGTTTCAGTAAAAGACAAATACAGTTACATATAAAAGTAGACAAATCCAAGAATATTTTAGGCTTACAATCAACCATTCATATTCACAAAACAAGATTGGAATTAAACGATTATTGGATCAAGAAGTATTAATATTTAGTCTACAGGTGTTTTGACCCAAAAAAATAAATAAATAAAAATGGGAGTATACTCCAAATGAGGAAAATTACCTTTGGGATGAGCTCCAACATTGATTTCATTTCCATATTCACCTCCCCTGAATACATGGATCCCTCCTTCAGAAACTGGTGAAGCACTAGAACTCCAAACAAACAAGTGAAGATCTTTGCCATTACCCTCTGTACCATTAGCCTTCTTTTTCGTGCAGGAGTCTGTCACTGGAGAGAAAATTTCGGCACCGGCAGGTGCAGGGTACCCTGCATTCCCCTGCCCAGAAACCCCATAAGGCCTTGAAGGGTTCCCATGACCACTCTCCTCATCAAACCCCAAGTTCCCATAATTTGAATGCCTTGGACTAACATTGCTAGTGTTCCTCCCATTCACCATAGAATAAAAATCAGTGTGGTTAAAGCTTGAGCCTCTTGGGGTGGGGTTTCTTGATGACTGCAAAGAATAAATCTCTGCATTCGTTAAATTTGAAGGTCTAGGCGTCATAGAAACACCAGAATTAGGCCCATGGGATCTTCTTGAAAAGATTTCAGACCTTGAACTTGTTGATTTTCTTACAGTAACATGGAGTTTTCCATCTTCACCAACTTCAGCTTCAGTTTGCAGAGGCTCTTTACCGTCCAAAGAAATGATATCAGAATCGATTCTAAAGGAGATAATGGAGGCTGCAGTATCTGGGAACTGCTCTGCAATAAGCAATCTGGCTCCTCTGTACTCAAACAAAAACAGCATCAAAGTGTACCAAATAATGCACTGAAGCACCACTATCTGCACCATTAAACTCCCTGAAGACTCACCATACATCCCTTTCAACAGAGGGATCCCCATTACAAGAGTGTTGGGGAGCGTAGAAAGAGAAAACAGAGTGATGGACCATTCAAGGGACCCTCTTGAGCTGATTCTTGACCAAATGGCAAGAACAAAAAGCACTATGATTTTCTGAAGGGTGTCAGCGGCTATGAATCTGTAGTTCATAGCATAGGGATTGTTCGTGGAGATGAAGTGGAAAGAAAGTAGAGGCACTGCAAAGAGTGCCACAAATCGATTGATGCCTGAACATTGATCTGGGGTGAATATTTTCCACCATTTTACTGAACCATAGGCCAAAATCATGGCCACATAGAGTGGAACCACAGCCGTTAGCACATGGTAAAGGTCTGTGATTGTGATCATTTTTCCTTGCTTAAAAATGGGATTTTGTGGATACCCTCTAGTTTTTCCTTGAGAAAAAACCAAGATTTCCAGTTCAAGATGAAGCTGCAAACATGGAGTACAATTTTATTAAAAATAGCTACAAGAGACAGATATGCTTGATGGTTGTCGGATACGTGGAGCTAAAAGAAAAGCTGGGTAATGGGTTGCCAGAAAATGGTTTTATGACCAGATTTTCAGGCAGGATTTGGGAGAGAAATGAAGCGAGTAGACATATGAGATTATTTATGGGAAATAAATGGCAGCCAGAGATAAAAGCTGAGGTCTTTCGCGCAGTTCTTTCTGCGTCTTTTGATGGAAAAAGAGCAGAAGTGCCCATTTTTTATTTTTTTTAAGCAGGTCTCGTTCATGTGTGGGACTGTCATGTCTTTTGTTATTCACTGTCACTTTAGCTTAATTCGATAAAAAAATGGGAACACAAAAAAAAAATAGTTTTCAAATAATAATTTGTCGAATAAGCACTAATAATCTTTCTTATAAACAAATTTATTATTAGATGATTATAATGAGTTGATTACAATAATTGGACAAAGTTGGACGACATTGACAAAAAGTAACTACAATAAATAATAAGAAGAAGAAATTAAATACTATTTAATTTAAGGTCGTTATGTGAAAATCATTTTACTAGTGTTGGTCAAAGCCTTAATGAAATGCATAATAGCTAAAAAAAAATTTATGATTGGTCATCTACAGAAACCCTCTTCATTTACCTACATTTCGATCATAGCAAAATAACACAACTATGAAAAGAAACAGTTTTAACATGTTTGCCGAAGCCTAGGAAGATTATCTCGCATGCCTTTAGATCAAAAAATCACTTTATTTGAAAGTAAGTATTCACTTACAAAAAGTATTCTTACTTTATCTTCGGTTCAGCCAAACATGCTCCATAGTGTAACAATGAGGAAAAACAGTATCAGACTCCAATGGACCAATTCTAGTGACAAAGGGCCAAACAGCATCAGGGAGAAAAGGAAAGGAGAGTAGGGGTGGGCGAGGGTCGGTCCGGTTCGATTCGATTCTAAAGAGAATCAAATCGAACCAAAATTTTCGGGTATTTAATAAATGGAACCGTCAGGTCCAAATATAATTATGGAACTGTTCGGGTTCAGTTTCGTTTGGTTCGGTTCGATTCCCTTCAGTTATATACTATAATTAAATTTTTTAACATTTATAAGAATATTATATAAATACAAGTAATGATACATTCAATGATTTTGGAATGTCAAAAACTAGTAAACTACCTTGTTCAAATGATCCCTACGATCAAAGTTTCGGTCGGCGGAGGTCACAGTGTTGGCTGACGATTGTATAGGTTTTGGAATATTAGCGAGGCTGTGAGAGTAAGTGCGAGAGTCCAGACAACGTTATGCACTTTAGTGTAGGTGTTTAAAGTTATTTAGTTGATTTAATTTTATTTGGCTAAGAAATGAAACAGTAAAATGAGTAATTGAGCCAAAAATTAAAAAATTAGAAATGAAACAAATTATTTGGCCAAAAACTTAGATTTAGAAATCGTTAGAGGAAAAACAGTATCAGACTCCAATGGACCAATTCTAGTGACAAAGGGCCAAACAGCATCAGGGAGAAAAGGAAAGGAGAGTAAGAAAAAATAGCTCGGGGTATAGTTCAGTGGTGCAAAGGACAGGAGTGAGGTTATCTCACACCTTGCTGGCAACTGCAGTGTGATGGTTCGATTCCTAAGGCATGAAATTGAACTACTTGTAGGTACAGTGTACAGACAGCTCTTGTTTCCTGACCTGCTGAGGCAAATCTCGCGATTTACCTTCCTCACAAAGCTCTAGAAACGAAACGGTGGGAACCCTGAAAGTTCGGGTTCAACCTTCTTCTTTTTTTAGTAAGAAAAAGCAGGAGAAAAGTAGAAAATGTATAAAAACATAAGCACAAAAGTCTGCTGGGACAAATGTTCGGAACAGACTTGAGAATTGATTAGACATACACCCATATATATATTAAAAGATTCTCTCCACTTCGTGTAATTTTATGTTTTAAATTCATCATATATAATACAAATATTTTCTACTTTTTCCATATTGTCGGAACAAGAATTTTGCTTTATGTGTCCACTGTATAGTTAGTCACTTTCCTCTTTTCTTGAATTTATTTGAGAACATACAACCTAAGAGCAGCAAAGTGTTGTCTGGCACAAAGTTAATTTTTTTCTTCGTCAATTGCAAAGAGATATTTGATCTGATTGGTGGGTGTAGTCTGGTTGGAAAGCAATTTCAATTTTTCTAAGCGGCTTGTATGTCCCTTGTCTCCTCTTCATTAACAAAAAATGTCTTTACCTACCTTTCATTGTTAATGTGTAAATAGTCTTTACTTTTCATTTTTTAACATTTTTATCCCTATTTTCGCTTTGTATTGCAGAAAAGATCATTTTCTCAATAAAAAAAAAATGTAAAATGATAAATATACCTTTCTATTTAAATATAAAAAAAAAATTTAAAGAACAAATTGTAATTAATATCCAAAACTTTTTTAAAAAATTGCAAATAAGTCCAAATAAATTATTAAAATGATAATTAGCACAAAATATCTTTACATTTCAATATTATTATGCAAAACATCCATACTTTTTATTTTTTGGTATTTTCACTGTTGTTTTCACATTTCATCGTGGAAATCATTATTTTCATCCATTTTCTCAAAAAAAAATGTAAAATGAAGAATATGCCTTGATATTTAAATAAAACAAAAAATAAAGAAAATAAAAATAAAGAACAAATTGAAAGTATACTCCCAAAATTTTCAAAAAAGAAAGTAGAAATAAATTCCAAACAAAGAATTAAAAAAGTGAATTGTTCCAATTTGTTCTTTATATTTTTATTTAAGTAAAATGATATATTTGTCATTCTACATCTTTTAATTGAAAAAATGGATGAAAAAAATGATTTTCGCAATGTAATGTGAAAATAATGATGAAAATGCTCAAAAAGAAAGATATGGACGTTTTGCACAATAATATGAAAAGATAGGGACATGTGCTAATTACCCTTTTAATAATTTCTTTGTAGTCATTTGCATTTTTTTTTTAAAAGTTTTGGAGTATAATTGCAATTTTTTTAAAAACTTTTTCCTTTTTATTTTATTTAAATAGGAGATTATATTTGTCATTTTAAATTTTTTTTTAATTGAGAAAATGATATTTTTTGCGATGAAATGTGAAAATAGGGTGAAAATCTACTAAAACCCTCATCTTAAATTTCTTAACTGTAAATTTTGCTTATATTGAACCTTCGTCCTAGTGAGTGTATTTGACAATTTGTTGGGGACTAAGTTGCTTTTTTCCTTTGTCAACTGCAAAGAGATATTTGATCTGACTATTGGGTGTATTTGTTAAGTAATGGAATTTAGTTATTGTCGATCTTAATTATTGTCATTTAATAGAGCTAATCGTGGATCGACTTTAGCAGTGAGATCGTTGTGAGGGTTGGGCGATGGGCGATGGGCATGAGGCCCCCCTCCCTGCCGTCCTCTGACCAAAATTTCACTAAGGATTGTTTAGGAATTTATATTTTTGTAAAATTATATTAAGTATAAAATTTACTTGCTGCACAACAATTTTAATATTTTTATTTACTGAAATATCCCTAAATAAAATTACTTAATTAACAACACTTGTAAATATACATTTTAACATTAAACAATTTTCAATTTTTTAATTTGTTTAGAAAAAATTAAAATTAAAATAATTTGATTTACTCAATATAAAAAAAATTAGAAAGATTCGGTTCTTGCTCTAGAATCGAACCGTACTCGTCGGTTCTCAATTCAGATACTCGTTCGGGTATTTAATTTGACAAGAACCTTTAGATTCGATTCGGTTCAAATTTGATTCGAGAGATTTGTCCAGCCCTAAAGGAAAGTAAGAAAAAGCAGGAGAAAAGGAGAGAATGTATAAAAACATAAGCACAAAAGTCTGTTGGGACAAATGTTCAGAACAGACTTGAGAATTGATTATATATATATATTAAAAGATTCTCTCCACTTCGTGTAATTTTATGTTTTAAATTCATCATATAAAATACAAATATTTTCTACTTTTTCCATATTGTCGGAACTAGAATTTTGCTTTATGTGTCCACTGTATAGTTAGTCACTTTCCTCTTTTCTTGAATTTATTTGAGAACATACAACCTAAGAGCAGCAAAGTGTCGTCTGGCACAAAGTTAATTTTTTTCTTCGTCAATTGCAAAGAGATATTTGATCTGACTGGTGGGTGTAGTTTGGTTGGAAAGCAATTTCAATTTTTCTAAGCGGCTTGCATGTCCCTTGTCTCCTCTTCGTTAACAAAAAATGTCGTTACCTACCTTTCATTGTTAATGTGTAAATAGTCTCTATTTTTTCATTTTTTGACATTTTTATCTCTATTTTCGCCTTGTACTGTGGAAAAGATCATTTTCTAAATTAAAAAAAATGTAAAATGATAAATATACCCTCCTATTTAAATTTAAAAAAAAATTAAAGAACAAATTGTAATTAATCTCCAGAACTTTTTAAAAAATTACAAATAAGTCCAAATAAATTATTAAAAGGATAATTAGCACAAAATATCTATACATTTCAATATTATTATGCAAAACATCCATACTTTTTATTTTTTGGTATTTTCACTCTTTTTTTCACATTTCATCGTGGAAATCATTATTTTCATCCATTTTCTCAAAAAAAATGTAAAATGAAGAATATGCCCTGATATTTAAATAAAACAAAAAATAAAAATAAAGGACAAATTGCAAGTATACTCCCAAATTTTTCAAAAAAAAAATACAAATAATTTTCAAATAAAGAAGTAATAAAATCACTTTTTTAATTATTTGTTTTGAATTTATTTGTACTTTTTTTGAAAAAATTTAGAGTATAGTTGCAATTTGTTCTTTATATTTTTATTTAAATAAAATGACATATTTGTCATTCTATAGCTTTTAATTGAAAAAATGGATGAAAAAGATGATTTTCGCAATGTGATGTGAAAAGAAGGATGAAAATGCCCAAAAAGAAAGATATGGACGTTTTGCACAATAATATGAAAAGATAGGGACATGTTGTGCTAATTACCCTTTTAATAATTTATTTGAAGTCATTTGTAGTTTTTTTTAAAAGTTTTGGAGTATAATTGCAATTTTTTTAAAAACTTTTTCCTTTTTGTTTTATTTAAATAAGAGATTATATTTGTCATTTTAAATTTTTTTTAATTGAGAAAATGACATTTTCTGCGATGAAATGTGAAAATAGGGTGAAAATGCCAAAAAGAAAGAAAGATATAGA